AGAGGGAGGAGTCGAGGAGGAACGGGGACAGGTGCACATGGGTTATACTCAGGGGGAGGGTAGTGGAAACAAGTGTGCCGACACAGGGCCAGGGGGCAGCAGTGCACCCTCCACCCACTCAACCCCCCACCCGGGAGGCGGCACCAGCTCAGCCTACCGGACAGGAGGGAACGAGCGCCGTGTAAACAACGAAATTTTTAACCACACCCTGCAAAATACAGTGTACTTAGCAAATGCTGCAGCTTCTGAGAATGTGGGTGGAGCGGGTTTATTACTAAGAGCAGAGACGTTACCGAGAACAAATTCTGGCTTGAATGTCATGTACACTAATACCGACACGTTCCTTGATAAGAGGGAGGAGTTTGAAACACTACTAAGAGTACACCAACCAGATATTGTAGGAGTTGTAGAACTGTTGTACAAGAACAGGAGAATCGACCCAGAGGAATGTGAGTTCAGTATTGCTGGATATGACTCATTTACGAACCTAACTCAAGAATCCTGCAGGAGGGGTGTGGTTATCTACGCTAGGCAAGACCTTAGAGCCAGCCAGGCGAGGGTACAGGGAGAGGATGTCTTTGAAGAGTCCAAGTGGTGTAAAATTAAATTAAAGGGAGGGGACTTACTTATCGTCGGGTGTATCTACAGATCCCCGAACTGTGGCCCACTAAATCAAAGGAACTTAAGAACCTTAATAAACAATGCGGCGATGCTCAACCCCAGCCACCTCCTTATCATGGGGGACTTTAACTATGGCGACATCGACTGGAGAAACGAGTCAACCCCGAATGACTTGAATAATCCTGCTACTCTTTTTGTAGAAACTCTGAGAGATAATTTTCTGTTCCAACATGTGAGAGACCCGACACATTACAGAGGGGAACAAACACCCAAGCCACTTGACCTCATCATAACAAACGAGGAGGGTATGGTGGCCAAACTGGAACACCTTGCCCCAGTTGGCACCAGTCACCATACAGTGTTGTCATTCAGATTTAACTGTTACCTAGTTCAAGATAAGGCCAGGCCAAGGTGCAAATATTACAAGGGAAATTACAATGGGATGAGGGAAGAGATGAGGGGTATCAACTGGCCTGACTTATTAAGGTACAAGAACGCAGACACTACGCTGAATATCATAACTAGTAAAATGACCCATTTGATCGATAAATATATACCCAAGACCAAACCCAGTGCTTCTAGGAATACGAGGGGATCCCTACACATGAACCATGCGGCGGTCGACAAAATTAAGAAGAAAACCCAGAAATTCAAGACGTGGGTTGGGTCAAACGATGAGCAAGACAGGAGGATGTATGCAAGAGCCAGAAACCAAGCAAAGATAGAGTGTAGGAGGGCTGAAAAGGAGTTCCAAAGGCTGGTTGCACGCGAGGTCAAGTCAAACCCAAAGGCGTTTTACCGCTATGCAAAGTCGAAATTGAAAACGCGAGTAGGAGTATCAGACCTGAGGCTTGAAGATGGTAGTTACGCAGATTCTGACCAGGATAAAGCTGAGGCATTGAACAGCTTCTTTTCCTCAGTGTTCACAAGAGAGGATGCAACTAACCTTCCTGCGTTTGAGGACAGACGGTTCGACACAGCACTGACCCACATTGTGTTCACAGAAGAGGGTATTAGAAATAAACTGTCCAGGCTAAAGGTCCATAAGAGTCCTGGACCTGACATGGTGCATCCTAGAGTGCTAAGGGAGCTGTGCAACGAGCTTGCAGAGCCCCTGAAGATTCTGTTTTGTAAATGCCTGGATGAACAAATGGTCCCCAGTGAATGGAAAGTGGCTTATGTGAGTCCTATCTTCAAGAAGGGCGATAGGCACTCCACGAACAACTATAGACCGGTGAGCCTGACCAGCATAATATGTAAAGTACTTGAGAGTATTATCAGAGATGCAGCGATGGAACATCTACTACGAAACAACCTTGTAAAAGATTGCCAACACGGTTTTATGCCGGGGCGCTCTTGCTTGACACAATTGCTCAAGGTATTGGATATTTGGACCCATATTCTAGAACGGGGTGGTAATATCGACAATATTTACCTAGATTTTGCCAAGGCTTTCGACAGTGTACCCCACGAAAGGCTGAAAATCAAACTGGAAGGGTACGGAATTCGGGGAAATGTCCTAGCGTGGATAGAAGACTTTCTACATGACCGCAAGCAATGTGTGGTGATTAATGGCACGAAATCGTCATCTGTACCTGTAACAAGTGGGGTACCGCAGGGTAGTGTATTGGGCCCGCTGTTGTTTGTTTGTTTCATAAATGATATGCCTGACGTTGTACACTCCTCCATACAAATGTTTGCCGATGATGGCAAGTTATTTCGGGAAATTAAGAACCAAGCGGACTGTGAAGAGCTGCAGAAGGACCTCTGTGGGCTCCAGGAATGGTCGAAGGAATGGCTGCTGAGATTCAATGTCACGAAGTGTAAGAGGATGCACCTGGGGCGTACCAACGGTAAGGAGGCGTACCATATGTCCCAACGGGATGAAGAAAATGTACTAGTTGAGACTGTGTGAGAAGGACCTAGGTGTGTATGTTGACAATGAGCTGAAGTTCTCGGGCCATTGTGAGAAGAAGGTAAATCAGGCAAATAAATTATTGGGTCTTATAAGAAGGTCGTTCAGATATCTAGACGGTCCGTCCCTCGTGACGATCTTCAGGAGTGAAGTGCTTCCCCATCTGGAGTACTGTCACCCCATCTGGTCCCCGAGATATGCTAGGGACTGTCAGTTGGTTGAAAATGTTCAAAGGAGGGCCACCAAGCTGGTGCCTGCACTTCGGCATCTCAGCTACCCTGCGAGATTGGAGCGCCTGAACTTGCCTAGCTTATACTACAGACGGGCAAGGGGGGACCTAGTTGAGGTTTATAAGCATCTCAGGGGGCACTACTCAGTTGAGTGTCCTTACTTGGAGCTGGCGGACGCTCGCCCCACAAGGGGTCACAGCTCAAGATTGAAGAAGCCGCAAGTCCGGAAAACCGTGAGGGCAAACTTTTTCGGAGTGAGGGTTGTAAACTCTTGGAACAATCTACCAGAAAGTGTTGTGACGGCACCGAGTGTGAGCTCTTTCAAGAGAAGACTTGACCAACACTGGAGCGGGTTCAGGTACATTCAGGAGCCGGTGCATGCCCAGTATTTGCCAACAGTGCGTGACAGAGACGTGACCGATCGCCCGGGCGGCTAGCGAGCCGACCTTTTGGTGAAGAATATAAAGGAAAAGAGTCGTGACCGATCGCCCAAGCGGCTAACAAGCCGATCAGTGGCGAAGAGGATAAAAGTAAATATGTCACCAGGGTCTACCATTAGACAACACATGCTTCCAATATCTTCCCTGGCAGCAGTACCTCCCTGTTTGATAGCTGCCTACTACCTATGTAATGTGTTAGCCTGCCTGATATTCATCCCTTCCTGTTGACGACCTTTACATTTTGAAGAACGGGAGAGTTATAATATTACAAAAAATATTTTATTTGAAAACTAATAATTCACTTGCTTGTGTGCGGGCGCAGGCTGTCACGATGATCCTCTAGCGGTATTCATTGAGAAAAGCCGTCCTAACACTTTGTGTATGCCCAGTCATCTTCTGGACCTGTTCACACATCTTCAGAGACATTAATTGATAACGATTCGATGTTTAGGCACGAATCATATTATCCCATTACAGTACTCATATTATCCCACTACTCAGAGGCACGCTCCACTCTGAAAGAAAGTGGCTGGTCAAACGGGAAAATAATTATTAATGGCTACCAAAAACGTGTATGTAGACATGTGACGTCATCACTAATCTGCGGCGGTAATATCAAATGTGAAAGAAGGGTAGACATATGTTGGATTATTGTCACCTTATGATCATTTTTGCCGTTTTCTTTTTCTTTCGGACTTTGGAGAAGCCATCAACAAGTGGCATTAAACATCTTAACCTTAGTCCTCCAATCACATAATGTCACGAGATATTGAAGGTCAATTTGTTTCCTATTGGGAAAATGTTGTTGCTATTATTTTGAAGGAGATCAAAGCCTAAGAATATTAATGGCGCCGGAACACACGAACAACTACACCTAACCTATACTTACCTTACCTAGGCTAAGTAGGCTTTCTGTATCTTAGTTACACCACAGGGTGGTGTAATACATCTAGTGTGGCAGCATTATCTTAGTGTTACGGAGCAGGCACTGCTTGCTTCCTTTCGCTTTCAGCTACCGCCTCGTGGCGAACTGGGAAGCAACTAGCATAAGCCTTCCCCTGCCAGTACACACTTTTCACCATCAAGACTCCTGCTGTGCCTCCTCATGGCAACACACTGTAACTGGGTGCCTCGTGGGCCCAGGTTAGACCAGCAGGGGATCTTGGAGCAGTTGTGGGCCCCAGAGGGACGGTCACATAAGCCCACTGGCATGTGGACACGTCTATAGCACCAACCTTACTGGGCAACTGCACCCAGTAAGGTCATCCTTATGCAGTCCAAAACACAATCATAATCACAGATCAAAGCAAAAACAATTTATACAAATTCTTATGGTTGCTGCATGGAATGTCAGGACCTTAATGGATACTGGCACAAATGAGTGTCCTGTAGAAGAACTGCCCTTATGGCAAAATAGCTGTCTCGGTATAACAGCCATTAGTGAGTCCTGGCTCCCCAGACGAGGGTCGACTCAGAACGGGGGTCTGGTTATATCTTCTTCTGGAAGGGTAGCTTGCTGCGGAGATAAAAACGCATTTATGGAGGTGGCTTTGCTAACCGCCAAATCATCATACATAGGCTAACAGAAATGCCTGTAGGGATCAACGAGCACCTCATGACGCTTTGAGACCCACTGAACCACTCACATCATGCCTTCATCAGTGCTTATGCCCCAACACTGGATGCAATAAGTTTTGAAATTCATTATACAGTACTGTACATAGACGTCAACGGGGCTATCAGGCCGATCACTGGTGAGGAGGATAAAGTAATGGGTAAATATCTCCTTTTCAGGTTTTGCGAAGGTGAATTAAGATGGGTGACGGAAACAACCAGCGTCCTCTGAAGATCACGGTGGTGGGTGACGGTACAGTAGGCAAGACCTGCCTTCTCATTTCTTACACCACCGGCGAGTTCCCAGAGGTGAGGAGATGATGATAATAATAAGACTTTCTCTGTAAAATCATCATACAAGTTTACAAATAGTTTGGCATGTAAGGAGACTTGTTTGTAAACCCATCTATAAATTAACCCAGGAACCGTGTGCTCAGTAACTTGGTTATTCATGCCACATCACAGGTGTGGATGGATGAAGCTTATATTGTTAACCTATTTACATCTGTACAGCCTGATGTTTCTCACATACTTTCCATCAGCATAATGTGAAAATTTGGCCACTGTTACTTCCATTTTGCACTTTTTAGTCATTAAGTTTTGGGTTGACCATTGTGTTTACCTTTATGGTCAGTGTACAGAGAGAAGCACACATTATACTACCACATTTTACACCATATGTACAATGAAAGACAAAAGTCGTGTCGTGAAATTTGGTGGAGACCTAAGCCGAAGGGCTAAACTTTTGGTGCACTCTGCCTTGTGGTAGGACTCTCATAATGTTTCACGAGTTATATTTAATCTAGGGACAAAACCGCAACACAAATTTCGTCTTTGATTGTACACAACATACATGTCTGAACACACATCCCAGATGTTTCAGGAAATGTGCACATAAACTCGTGTGGCTGTAGTGTAATATATGTACCATGTGTCTGATTATGCAGTACATGCACAGACGATGTAAAAAAAATTTTGGTAAACTTTTTTCAAACATGAAGTAACTTGTTTCCTAGATTTTCCATTCACTGTGTACGTCTTAAGCATGATTAGGTACTGTAGAAGGCGCCACACTGATAAAAAAATTACACTTTTTGCACATGTTTTAACTCTTATTTACCAATTTTGTTTGAATGATTTTGACAAAATGGCCATACAGTATTATTACTTACTATATTTATTTTCAGGAATATGTACCAACAGTCTTTGACAACTATGCAGGGAACCACACGGTGGAGGGCCGATCCTATCCCATGATGTTGTGGGACACCGCTGGTCAGGAGGAGTACGAGCGACTCCGTCCACTGTCCTATCCTGGGGTAACTTGCATCTGCTCTCACTGTGTCTCAGTATTTAATTAATGTTTGTGTTATTCATGTTCCATTTGATAAGCATCATGAAGGCAGGCAGCCCTCCAAGAAAATTGTGTAGCTCAGTACAATATCTTTCTCTGATAAGTATAACCCTTGCATTGTGATATTAGCCCCAAAGTTTTCTTTGCTCAAGTCTACAGTACTTATGTCATCCTCTTTAACTGCCCATGTTTCACTGCCATAAAACATCACACTTCTCACACTAGCCGCATACAGTCTTCCTTTCACTCGGAGGGAAAGTCCTCTTGCCATCAATAAAGGCAGCAACAGTTGAGGATGTGTAAAAAATTTGATAGGTTTGTGTCCTTGATTTGGGTTAAAAGTAGACAAGGTAACTTTGCCCTTTCTCTATTCATTTAAACGGTATTGAATTGAAAACAAAAATAATACCCCCATTAGGCCATTACTGTATGATAATACCACATACATCTTTCACCAGTTTTAAATTTGCATTACCTGTTCTGAAGTACTTATTTCATCATACAGACAGATGTGTTCATAGTCTGTTTTGCCCTGGATAACCGTGCAAGTTTTGAGAATGTTACATCAAAATGGTTGCCAGAACTCCAACAGCACTGTCCTAAAGTACCAGTTATCCTTGTTGGTAAGTACATTACTGTTTTTTATAAGATGTTATATTGAAAAAGGTAGCATACAGGTATATTGTTTGATTAAATGTGTAGGAGGAGAGTGGAGAAGTAACTGGGAGTAAGAACAATTCCAATGAATGATTTAAGTGTAAGTGTTGGAGGTTAATGGGAGCATCTTGCAGGTCTTTGTCTAGTGAGGTACAGCATATACTTTTATCCTCTTCACCAGTGATTGGCTCGTTAGCCACTTGGGGAACTAAAGAGCCTTAATTGACAATGTAATGGCGCTAAACCCTAGCCGCCACCTTGTCATGGGGCACTTTAATCAACTGGAGAAATGAATCTACGCCAAACAACCTAAATAACCCAGCACTCTTTTCGTAGAAACTCGGAGAGACGATTTTCTTTTCCAACATATTAAAGATCTGCCCCCACAAGGGGTCACAACTCAAGGTTGAAGAAGCCACAAGTCCAGAAAACTGGGAGGGCAAATTTTTTTGGAGTGAGAATTGTGAACTCTTGGAACAATTTGCCAGAGAGTGTTGTGGCGGCACCGAGTGCGAGTTCATTCAAGGTCAGACTTGACCGACACTGGAGAAGCTTCCGATTTATTTAGGAGCCAGTGCATGCCCAGTATCTTCCAACAGTGTGTATCAGAGACGTGACTGACCGCCAAAGCGGCTAACAAGCCGGTCAGTGGCAAAGAGGATAAAAGTAAAAAAAAAATGTAAAAGTAGATGTTATGATGGAACATCTACTACGAAACAACCTTGTAAAGGACTGCCAACACAGTTTTATTGGGGGGAGTGCTTCTGCTTAACACACTTACTCAAGGTACTGGATGTTTGAACCCAAATTCTGGAACAGGGTGGAAATATTGACAATATGTACCTAGATTTTGCCAAGACTTTCGATACTGTACCCCATGAAAGGCTGAGAATTAAACTGGAAGGGTATGAAATTTGGGAGTGTCTTAGTGTAGATCAGAGACTTTTTGCATAATTGCAAGTAGTGTGCGGTGATTAATGGTACGAAATGGTTGTGTACCCCTGACAAGCGGGGTACCACAGGGAAGTGTATTGCGCCCTTTGTTGTTGGTTTCATAAATGACATGCCAGAAGCTATACACTTATCCATACAAATGTTTGCAGATGATACCAAGTTATTTGGAGAAATTAAAAACCAAACAGACTGTGAAGGGCTGCAGAAATATCTCTGAGCTTCAAGGGCGATAAAAGAAATAGCTGCTTAGATTCAATGTCACAAAGTGTAAGAGGATGCACCTGGGTCATACCAACGGTAAGGAGGCTTATCATATGACCCAACGGGACGAAAAAACTTCATTAATAGAGACCCAATGCGAAAAGGACCTGGTTGTGTTTGTTGACAATGAACTGAAGTTCTCGGGCCATTGTAAGGCGAATCAAGTAAATAATCTAGTAGGGCTTATAAGAAGATTGTTCAGATATCTAAACGGTCTGTCCCTCGTAACAATCTTGAAGAGTGAGGTGCTCCCCCGCCTAGAGTACTGTCACCCCATCTGCTCTCCGAGATAGACTAGGGACTGTCAGTTGATTGAAAATGTCAAAAGGAGGCCCACCAGACTGGTGCCTGCACTCCGACACCTCAGATATCCAGAGAGGTTAGAGTGCCTGCAACTGTCTAGCATATAATACAGATGGGCAAGGGGTGACCTAATTAAGGTGTACAGTATAAACATCTCAAAAGGCACTACTCAGTTGACTGTCCTTACCTGGAATTGGTGGACTCCTGCCCCACAAGGGGTCACAGCTCATGGTTGAAAAAGCCTCTAGTCCAGAAAACTGAGAGAGCTAACTTTTCTGAGTGAGAATTGTGAACTCTTGGAACAGCCTGTCAGAGTTTTGTGACTGCACCTAGAGCGAGCTGTTTCAAGACCAGATTTGACCAACACTTGCAGTTTCGGTTACATTCAGGAGCCAGTGTATCCACGGTACTTGCCAACTGTGTAATCAGGACGTGACCGACCGTCCAATAGGCTAACGAGCCAATCAGAGGCGAAGAGGATAAATGTAATAAAAGTAAAAGTAAAAAAAGATTTTGCAGGATCTGTCATCTACTTGTGGGTCATATACAGTATATAATTAATGTATAGCTGTTGACTGCTGTTTTTTATACAATAGATTGTTGTTAATGATTTTCACAAAACCAAAAATTCAAAGTACTGTAAAACAATAGGAAATCCTTTGGCATGATTTCAGGAGCAGTGGCCTTCTTTTTTTTTTTCTCTCCTTCCTTTCTTTCTCCCCCCCAACTCCCTCTTCGTCACTGATCGGCTCGTTAGCCGCTTGGGCGATCGGTCACGTCTCTGATTACTTTTCCTTTTCATTTATCTTCTTCACCAAAAGATCGGCTCGCTAGCCGCCCGGGTGATCGGTCACGTCTCTGTCACGCACTGTTGGCAAATACTGGGCATGCACTGGCTCCTGAATGTAATTGAGCCCGCTCCAGTGTTGGTCAAGTCTTGTCTTGAAAGAGCTCACACTCGGTGCTGTCACAACACACACTGGTAGATTGTTCCAAGAGTTTACAACCCTCACTCCGAAAAAGTTTGCCCTCACAGTTTTCTGGACTTGCGGCTTCTTCAATCTTGAGCTGTGACCCTTTGTGGGGCGAGCGTCCACCAGCTCCAAGTAAGGATACTCAACTGAGTAGTGCCCCCTGAGATGCTTATACACCTCAACTAGGTCCCCCCTTGCCCGTCTGTAGTATAAGCTAGGCAAGTTCAGGCGCTCCAATCTTTCAGGGTAGCTGAGGTGCTGAAGTGCAGGCACCAGTCTAGTGGCCCTCCTTTAAACATTTTCAACCAACTGACAGTCCCTAGCATATCTCGGGGACCAGATGGGGTGACAGTACTCCAGATGCAGAAGCACTTCACTCCTGAAAATCGTTACGAGGGACGGACCGTCTAGATATCTGAACGACCTTCTTATAAGATCCAATAATTTATTTGCCTGATTTACCTTCTTCTCGCAATGGCCTGAGAACTTCAGCTCCTTGTCAACATACACACCTAGGTCCTTCTCACATTGTCTCAACTAGTGCAGTTTTTTCATCCCGTTGGGACATATGATAAGCCTCCTTACCGTTGGTACGCCCGAGGTGCATCCTCTTACACTTCGTGACATTGAATCTCAGGAGCCATTTCTTCGACCATTCCTGGAGCCCACAGAGGTCCTTCTGCAGCTCTTCACAGTCCGCTTGGTTCTTAATTTCCAGAAATAACTTGGCGTCATCGGCAAACATTTGTATGGAGGAGTGTACAACGTCAGGCATGTCATTTATGAAACAAACAAACAAACAGCGGGCCCTGTGTTACCCCACTTGTGACAGGTACAGATGACGATTTCGTGCCATTAATCACCACACACTGCTTGCGGTCATGTAGAAAGTCTTCTATCCACGCTAGGACATTTCCCCGAATTCCGTACCCTTCCAGTTTGATTTTCAGCCTTTCGTGGGGTACACTGTCGAAAGCCTTGGCAAAATCGATGTAAATATTGTCAATATTACCACCCCGTTCCAGAATATGGGTCCAAATATCCAATACCTTGAGCAATTGTGTTAAGCAGGAGTGCCCCGGCATAAAACCATGTTGGCAATCCTTTACAAGGATGTTTCGTATTAGATATTCCATTGCGGCATCTCTGATAATACTCTCAAGTACTTTACATATTATGCTGGTCAGGCTCACTGGTCTATAGTTGTTCGTGGAGTGACGATCACCCTTCTTGAAGATAGGACTCACATAAGCCACTTTCCATTCACTGGGGACCATTTGTTCATCCAGGCATTTACAAAACAGGATCTTCAGGGGCTCTGCAAGCTCATTGCACAACTCTCTTAGCACTCTAGGATGCACCATGTCAGGGCTGGAACTTTTATGGACCTTTAGCCTGGACATTTATTTCTAATACCCTCTTCTGTGAACACAATGTGGGTCAGTGCTGTGTCGAACTGTCTGTCCTCAAATGCAGGAAGGTTAGTTGCATCCTCTCTTGTGAACACTTGAGGAAAAGAAGCTGTTCAGTGCCTCAGCTTTATCCTGGTCAGAATCTGCATAACTACCATCCACCAGCCTCAGGTCTGATACTCCTACTCGCGTTTTCAATTTCGACTTTGCATAGCGGTAAAACGCCTTTGGGTTTGACTTGACCTCGCTTGCAACCAGCCTCTGGAACTCCTTTTCAGCCCTTCTACACTCTATCTTTGCTTGGTTTCTGGCTCTTGCATACATCCTCCTGTCTTGCTCATTGTTTGACCCAACCCACGTCTTGAATTTCTGGATTTTCTTCTTAATTTTGTCGACCGCCGCATGGTTCATGTGTAGGGATCCCCTCGTATTCCTAGAAGCACTGGGTTTGGTCTTGGGTATATATTTATCGATCAAATGGGTCACTTTACTAGTTATGATATTCAGCGTGGTGTCTGCTTTCTTGTACCTTAATGAGTCAGGCCAGTTGATACCCCTCATCTCCTCCCTCATCTCATTGTAATTTCCCTTGTAATATTTACACCTTGGCCTGGCCTTATCCTGAACTAGGTAACAGTTATATCTGAATGACAACACTATATGGTGACTGGTGCCAACTGGGGCAAGGTGTTCCAGTTTGGCCACCATACCCTCCTCGTTTGTTATGATGAGGTCAAGTGGCTTGGGTGTTTGCTCCCCTCTGTAATGTGTCGGGTCTCTAACATGTTGGAACAGAAAATTATCTCAGTTTCTACAAAAAGAGTAGCAGGGTTTTTCAAGTCATTCGGGGTGGACTCGTTTCTCCAGTCGATGTCGCCATAGTTAAAGTCCCCCATGATAAGGAGGTGGCTAGGGTTGAGCATTGCCGCATTGTTTATTAAGGTTCTTAAGTTCTTTTGATTTAGTGGGCCACAGTTTGGGGATCTGTAGATACACCCGACGACAAGTAAGTCCCCTCCCTTTAATTTAATTTTACACCACTTGAACTCTTGAAAAACATCCTCTCCTTGTACCCTTGCCTGGCTGGCTCTAAGGTCTTGCCTAGCATAGATAACCACACCCCTCTTGCAAGTTTCTTGAGAAAGGTTCATAAATCAGTCACATCCAGCAATACTGAACGCACATTCCTCTGGGTTGATTCTCCTGTTCTTGTACAACAGTTCTACAACACCTGCAATATCTGGTTGGTGTACTCTTAGTAGTGTTTCAAACTCCTCTCTCTTATCAAGGAACGTGTCATTATTAGTGTACATGACATTCAAGCCAGAATTTGAGCTCGGTAACGTCTCTGCTTTTAGTAGTAAACCTGCCCCCCCTTTCAGAAGCTGCAGCATTTGCTAAGTACACTGTATTTTGCAGGGTGTGGTTAGAAATGTCATTGTTTACACGGCGCTCGCCTCCTTCTGTCCGGTAGGCGGAGCTGGTGCCTCCTCCCGGGTGGGGGGTAGAGCGAGTGGAGGGTGCACTCATGTCCAGTATTAATTGATGACTGATACTGATGTTGTAGATAACTGGAATGATAACCAACTGCTGGAATGAATGGTTTTATTTATTATTTTTTCCTCGCCAGGAACAAAGAAGGATGTTAGGAACTTGGTTGTTCTTAATCAGCGAGATGGCAAGAAGTTGGCAAAGAAGGCCCGCCTCTCCAAGTACGTGGAGTGTTCCGCTAAGAGCCAGGATGGCGTGCAAGAAGTCTTCACCTCAGCAATAATGGCAGCTGTAGGTTTGGGACCGAGGCAACGACCGTGTGTAATCATGTAGTACCAGGCATGTGATGGGGTGATATTTTAATTCAGTAAACTTTGTAAACCACTTATCCCTATATTACCTGATTGTTATGAGAAGAGAAGTTATTTGTCTGAAATTTACGAATATCATATGTATTAATATTTTCATAAACTAGTGATACTGAATGATACCTATAAAAGAATGTGTATTGGTTCCATATATTTATGTAAATTATATTGCTGTGTAACTTTTATCGATAATATGAACCGAACGTTGAGTATTCATCAAAACCCTTCTTTGCTGCATCTAATTTTAAGTATTGTATATACTGTAGTACAGGTACAGACCCTCGAACCTGATCTCGGAAAACCATACATTTTCTCCCCTGGGTTTTGATTAGGGTTTCTTCCCTTGCTAAGTCAAGTTTTACTTCCACTTCCATAAACATGGTTGATTGTTTTACTTCTTAAATAACAAAGCCAAGACAAAATTTTTATGCATACTTAAAATAGAAAATGATACCATAAATACAGTACGGTACATGTATATTAATAAGTTGAGAGTTCACTAAATTTGAGTTATGTGATTCTCGAGGTTCAGCAGCTACCTGTCTCACCACATTTGCCAGGAGTAGCGAGTTCATAAATATCGTCTCTTTGAATAAATAATCCATTACAGTACCTTGATTATATTTATTTACACTAATAAAATATTATTAATGTTTTTACATAGCTTTTGACATTAGTGTTGATCAAATTAAAGCAAAGATTCGATGTAACTTATGCTTTGTTATCAACGGCCATGTAACTCACTAGTCGCTAAAAGCAGCTGCTGCAAACCAAAGATTGTTGCTATAGGATGCTGGAGCTGTCCAATGGGTGAATGCATTCTCCTCCGAATGTGGTATTGCCAAGTGACTGCTAAGTATAAAACACATTAAACCCATTGCGGCTTACATAATATTGTGAAATAACACCACAGATTATTTTATAAAAACATCCAACTTTAGATATCTAGGAATAATTTCTTAAAGTAACTCCTTGGTTATTTTGCAGTAAAAGAGAACTATTTGACGAATGGAAATATTCTCCCTTCGGTTCTTCATTAAGAGCAATGGTGGTAACTACAACTTTACACTAGTTTTACACCATACTGTATACATACAGTAAAATGAATAAAGTGCACTTTATTGTATTTTTTTTTTACCAGGTTATTGTACTATTTTAGTACAGGAGGGTAGTGATATAAAGAACATCATGATATTGTATTTACAAGTTGGTAACAGAGTTGGCAGTGACACCACTTTTGTCACATCTTATATTGTGCTTGCAAGTTAATTACTGACCAACTTTTTTTTTTAAGTACAGTACAGCTTCAAAACTACACATCTGCCATTGTATTGTTGAAATACTGTAGGTGTTGGTGGTAGCTGTAATGCGCATTACTCTTGCCAATATGTCGAGGGTTCGAGCCTCGGCCCAGACACACAGGAGAAGGGCATTATCCTGTGTGACCCCTATCAAACATCACAGGTTTCCCAGTCCCTGGTTTCCTCCTGTACTAAGCTGATAATTAAGTGGCAAAAATAAAAATAAAATTAAAAAATAAAAACCTTGCATTTAGAGAACCCTCAACTTCTAAATAGACTGGATTTAAGGTATTCTTTTGTCTAAAATATACATAATGTACAAAAAAAAATAAAATTATTTGAGAAGTAAAGCAAACATTCAACTGAGTTTTGAGTTTGGGTTAGTGGAAGCAATCCTTGACAGTCTTGTGGTCAGCCATTAGGTAACATGGATGTCCCAGGAAACTGGAAAATTCTCGAGGCCAGTTTGGTTTTGGTCCCAAGGGTCCAGGATTTGAGGGTCTATACTTCTATGGTAATATGAATACTGTGCACTAAAACTCCCAAAATTCTCATGCCAAATTGGTGGTTCTGCTTGGGTGTCATGGCAGGTCCAGCTAAAGCATAAGGGAGGTGGGGGGGGATGATCCATGTACACTACTGTACTGTATAACCTTTTTTTATAATATTTCTGTAAACACTGGCATATGATTTAGGCATAAAAAAAAAAAAAAAAAAAATTCATGGTCAATACATATTTTCTGTATATAATGGGAGTCCAAAAATGCTGGAGGGGGAGAGGGAGGGTCAATTTACCACTCTTAAGGGGAGCTAGGCCACCCACCTCACTTAGATCTGCTACTTCTTAGATGTGGAACTTGTCATATTTTAAAACTATTATTAGTGAAGGAGAAATGGAAGGGAGTAAATGAAGTTATGTGAGAAGAGGAAATTTATTTAGGAGTGTGTAGCTATGTACAATTGCAGAATTGTTTTCCTATCCCCCCTGTGGTAACCCATTTCCAAACTGCCAACCTATATGACCTATCCACCAGTCATGTCCGCTGTTACACAACCAATACCCTTTCATTTATAAACAGTGATACTACTGCAATGTTGCTGTTTGGAGACATGGGTTACCACAGGGGGTGTAGGAACACATTGCCACAGCTGTACCTTAAGTGGAATTTCCTGAAATGCCTGACCTGTCATGCTATTTATGAGTGATGTTCAGATGTTATTATACAGTACTGTAGTAAATACCTCTCCAGCCACTTTATATGATGAAACTGTACTCTAGCAACATTTGCTCTCCAGTTTAGAGATATAAAAGTAATGGTACATTCCTGTTAAAGTTAGTTTGTTCCTCCATATTACTGGTATGTAACCATTTGCAAGCTCATCTTTGTAAGCAATGTATATATAAAGCACAGTGTTTATTTGTTGTTTGTGTGTTCCTAGGCTCTGACTACAGTTTTGAATATGAGCTGCTATTAAAAAATAAACCCAGCTATCCTGTTAGTCTCCTGTAATGGAATGGTACTGAACTTTTAGTTTTACAGTTAAATAATCTTTACCTTGATATGGAAGAATTTTGTCTCTAGTATTAAAAAACAAATGTTTTTTATGTGACATGTATACACATAGACAAGTCTTACATGAAATAACACTGCAACAGATTTCAAATTGTGGAATTTGTAAGCATACTTATAATTTATGACTTAGAGGTGCCAGTTTGGAGATTATGTTTGCTTGCAAATTATCCACATTACAGGGTGCTAGGGTTGTAAAAGTAGCGAACTCATTGATAGCTGATCGGTCATCACTTGTTGGGTTAATCTCCATGATTCACTGCTGCTGGTTAAAAGTTTCCAAAGCAGCCTTGATCAGATCATCATGGATCAAAGGTTCATTGATAATGGTCAACAACCTTCTTCACCTTGTATCAGTTAAGAAGCAAATACAGTACAGTACACTAAAATCCTTAACAATTAAGAAACTGTAAATTAAGTTGTTGTCTCTGATATGTGTAACAACTCTTGTAAATGAAGCTTGTAGTCTTTCTCCAGCATTTGTGCTATTTATATTGAAAATATTGTGCTAACAAGGTTTAAATACTTTATAATCTACATCATACAGTGAGGAGTTCAATTATTAAGGGAAAACCAAGACCTCAACTTTTATAGGAGTAAAGTGAAGAAGTTGCTTAATGATACTGTACATCATAAGGCAGACATTTGTAGGAGTTTGGAAAATGGTGAAACATTGAATATTTTTAATGTCCATGATATAGAGGCTTAATTTGAAGAATTATTTAAGTTTAGTGTGGGTGTGTGTAGTGTAGATGTGTGTAAAGTGAATTTGAATAGTGTGGGCATGTGTAGTGTGGGTGTGTGTAGTTTGGACATGTGGGTTTAGTTAGTCTGCATGTTTGTGTAGTGTGCATGCATGTAGTGCAGGTTTGTTTTTTGTGTGTGTATTCATGAAAGTGTTAGAAGTAGCTGATTAAGATTGCCAAATACATTCCACTCACCCTCACCTTACATGATGATGGAAGAGGATACTGTATATTCAAGATAAAAATGTGAAAGGTGATGTTTGGTTGTACAGAGTGACAGTAAACCAGATAAAATCTTGAGGCTGTGTTGTGGAAGAGGACCACAGTAGTGACATATATCTGTTACAGCAGGTAGAGAGCAGGAATAATGCCAAATGAAGAGTGTATTTGACCTTGATTGTAACAATCTATGGTACATTAGAGTGTGGACAAGCATGAATGTCATTAAAAGTGAAAAAGAATCCTAAAACAATGTTTTGCTATTATTATTAGACTACTATCTCACACAGCAGATTACTGATGTCTGCATTGGTGTTTAAATTTTGAATGATAGGATTTGTAGGTGATTCTACCTTGTAGGAAATACACAAAAGCTATGAGCTTTCGAAGTATATAACGAGAATTATGGGAGTTTTACTGTATCATCTTATTTGTGTTTACAATGCTCATTTTTTAGGTCACCTACATGAATTGTGAAAGACCTCATGCAGTGTCACTGGTGTTGTGGGTGTTGACAAACATTAACTTTGCATAACCAAGTTTGTTATTCAGGCTTTGCAATATCCCGAGCCAGTTAATTTTATCTTGTATTTGGATTGGAATATTACTGAGCACTGCAGGGGAGTTAATTTGTTCACAGATAATACTTGTGCAATATTGTCATTAGTGAATTGAATACTGTACAAGATAGTTCTTTTTCACTGCATTATACAAAATCATGTATGAAAATACTGTACGGTATTAGTATTATCAGTTTGTTGGATATGGTGAACTTTTATCTTTCTAGTATTCAGTTCTGTTAATAAAGTTTTAATTAAAGTTTGAACTGTGATGATGCCAAGCATTTACACTTCTCTTAGAGATCATTTGTATATAATTGCAAATCCAAAAAAAATATCAACATGTTAGAAGTAATTATTAAGTCAAATTTGTTGGAGCTATTTTCATAATTATATTTACAGTGTGTATCATTGTTGTTGATATATTACAATGACATAATACCTGCCTCCCCTCATGTATGTGTTTATTCATGTGTATGCATGCATGTCTGTGTATATATATATATATATATATATATATATATATATATATATATATATATATATATATATATATATATATATATATATATATATATATATATATATATATATATATATATATATATATACTTTTATAAGCATACTGGAAGAATGGAATGTGCTTCATATTTTGTATTAATACTGTACAGTACAGTATCAATAATGTAAGCAGTTAAACAAGACTTGATTTGCATTACATGAAAAAGATTATCTCCACCTTGAGCTTGGGTGATAATTGGAGAACATTACTTTTGAAAACCCAATTGTGTACTATATTGTTTGCAAATAAATGTGTTTTCCTACAAGTTGCTTCTGTGATTTTGTTTATTGACAGGTAGCCAATGATGGTTTCTTATACAGTCAACCCTCGCTTTACGCGGTCCCACATTCCGCGTTTCCACGTTTACGCGGTACCCTGCCGAAACCGGAATGCTCACATTCCGCGGTACGTGTACCCCTTTACGCAGAGAGCGGCTGGTGAGCTGCGCCATTTTTGGATCCAAACCTCCCGCCATCCGCCATGTTGTGTAAGTGGCGCGAGCAGGGTGCGCACAAGGTCGCCCAGTCATCAAAACATTACCGAGTTCTTCACCCGCCACCCACCACAGCCGGCCCAAGTCAGTGATAGTGATAATTATAGTGAGGATATGGACTTATATGGACTTCGAGGGGTTTGACAAAGAGGCCCTGCAAGCCTCTGTGGTGGATAGTGATACAATTGATACAAGTGATACAGGTGAGGGCCAATAATCTGCCCTCTGCCTCGGAACCAACCCCCCATCCCAGTGTGCCCAGCCATCTTTCCTACTAATGTAAGTGTTAAAAAACCTAATATTATTGATATTTCTCTTAATTATTAATTGTGTGTGCATACCATCATAAAATTAAGAAGTTATTTTTACTACAACGTAGGTATTGTGTCTGAAAAAGTGGAGTTTGGGGGTCGGCTTGGTCTCTATTTCAATTAATCCCATACGTTATGTTGTTCACTTTACGCGTTTCTCACTTTCCGCGGTACCCTGTGGGTTGAATTAACCGCTTAAAGTGAGTGTTGACTGTATAGACAGTTAAAAGAGGTGATGCAAAATTGGATCATGTGTTGCTTGTCATAATTTGATGAACTGAATAGTCTCAAAACAATTAATGTAGGGTGACCTTTGTTTAAAAATTTGTGGTATGATGTATTTCAGTCTGAGAAAAAAGGGAGATGGTTTAGGGCTATTTATATTTGTTTAAACTAAAAATTTAAATAATATTTTGTAGTTTGCAAGTCATCAGTGAGTAACGTGCAAAACTTCTTTAAAACCCATCTGCCATGGTTGGGGGTTGGATTTTCCTCGTGGGAGGTTACACAACCCAACAGACCAGGCTGCCACGAGTGCTCCTTGTTCAGTAAACCAGGATTGAATCTATGCTTTGAAATCCTTAATTGTTGGTAGCTTTAAAAGCATTGAGGCCTCAAGTTCATAAGTCTGAAACCCTTACATAGGTTCACTCTCTCATCATTAGTTACTTGGTTGTCAATATGAAACAAATGATTTGACCTCCACAATTTCCTGTTGCAAGCCAAATTGTCTTGCTTCTCCCCTAGCTAGATACTGTACTGTATATGGCTTCGTCACTGGATCATAGTTGGGGCATATAAATGATAATCCACAGTTTTTTTTCTTATACGTACAGCATTTGATATTTATTGGTATTTGCCACACTGCCCTTTTTTTAGCTACTGTATCATGTTCAGATAAGGTGAGATGCAATTTCACAAACATTTTGACAAAGTTTAAAGTGCAAAGTTTATTTAGTTGCCCTTGTGGATTTCTGGTGATGAGTTACTAGATCAGGTTGACTGGGAAAATATTAATTGAATGTTGAAATAGGACACTTATGGTCCATCCCTTCATGTGTAATTCAAACATATAATTTTATTTTGTCTATATTGATTCAAACCTGTAAGTAAGCTTGCAGGGATAATTAAGTCCTGCACTTCAGGTTTGACAAATAGTTTTTGCTCCATTTATTTTGATTACCCGGTAGTATTGTGTTTTCTTTGTCAGTTTATGAAATTATAGTTGTAGGCACTTGGAGTTCATTTCTAGTATCACTAGGGATAACCAATAGTTATCACTATATTCCAGTTGTCTCACATATCAAACTCGTCCTCCTGAAACTAAATGTGTCGGTAGCATATGTTGTGGATCTCCTGCTTGCACCCCTGGAGGATTGTGTTAGTTGCTCAGGTTGTTTGATTGTCTGCACTCTCATCCAGCTCCTCATACTCGCATTATTGTTTACAGATCATATTTTATATTGTTTGTTAACAAAGTGAACAATCTTGATCTGACTTGAGACATTTTCCTTGGAATTGACTTAAATATTTTCTTTTCATCAGTTTATATAAGTTTATTTCCTGAAAATAGTCTAATTCCTCAGCAGGAAAATTATCAGACACACCAGATTCACCTTGTTTTAAAATCATAAAAGTTTGGCACAAAATTTTGGCTGTTGACCACACTAAGGCGGAGTGTGGTATCTCAGAAAATCTGTGATGGAGGCAGCTTGGGCTCCCTCACTGCTCTTAACCTTGAAAGCCCGGGCGATGAAAGACCCGCTGGACCCCCCACTCGGGCAAATTTCGGCAAGAAAAAAAAAAAAAAAAAATTCCATTGTTGCCTTATAAATGGGTTCATCAATATTAGAAAAAAACAGAAGAATGTTCTTATATTCAACTTTCACTGTAGCATGGTTGGAAAGTTGTCTGGTGTATTGATGAGCAATGTCGAGTGATGAAAGATGTTTTGTTTGAAGCTGCGTGCAGTCCAGAGCGAGCGGGAAGTGATGTTGACATGCACTTGCAACACACACTTCTTACTTGAAGGCACTTTTATATCATATTTCGACCTCGTAGCTACTACAAAATACAAACTTTCTATTTTTAAAAAAATAACTAACATACTAAAAAGATGATGAAGGATGTGCATCCATCATGATAGTTGGTGGGTAACTGACCACGAGGCACGAGTCTTGAGACAAAGATTTCGAATAAGTTGAGTTGCCAATTAAACAAATATCTAATATAAAAGCATTTTGTCCCACCAGGGCATTCAAAATATGATGCAAAAATTAAGAACATTGAGAAATGTCACCTGGGGGTCACCTTAGTGAACGTAGAGAAATGTCACCCGGGCTTTAAGGGTTAAAATGTTCCTTTGATTCGTCAGATGATAAATTTTTTCACCCCCACACTTGGGGTCAATAACTTTCTTCATATTTTTCGGAGGGGTCAAGTTTTCATTAAGTTTATACATTTCTGGAGGTGGGAAGTTGTAGGAGGTTGATGGACGTGAATGGCTAAGAAGTGACTGATGAGAAGCGTGGGTTGACACAAGTGCTTTCCAGACCATGCTGGTTCCCATAAATGATGAATCACTTGGTGGGAAATTTTTAAACAGTGATAGAAAAAATTAATGTCTGTTGACTTATACCAGTCTAAAGCCCCGTCCACACGATCAAGCAGTGCTCGGCGGGCTTTGCCCTTTTACCGGGCAAAGCCTGTGTGTTGTTGTACACACGGGGTGGTTGGCGGCAGTCATAGTCGGGCGCCGGTAGCTAGTAGGTGGTCGGCAGTGGCGGGTGCGGTTTGATCACCATGGTGTGTCGCAGGAATAATTGCCGGACAGTTAAAGCGAAGAGCATAGCGTTGTGTCCTATAATAATTGCTGCTATGTGCAAAAAGAACCAAATGCAGGTCGAAGAAAAGTATTGGGAAGTCATGCCACGATTTTACGTGAACTGCAAGATGGACATGAGCAAGACCACCAATTACATGAGAATGGACCCCAACACCTTTTACAAACTTCTAGCGAAAGTGGAACCATATATAAAAAACAGGATACCAATATGAGGGAGAGAATATCTGCAGAGGCTCGTCTAGAGGCAACGCTCATATATCTTTCAACTGGATGTACCTACACGTTACTTCAGTATAGAACGAGGATATAAAAAAAAGTTTGTCTCGCATAATACCTGCAACTTGTCAAGCCATTTATGAAGTACTCAAGGAAGATTACATGCAGGTGAGATTTGTAGTACATAAAAATTCATTGAATAATGTTAGAATTATGATATGCATAGACAGGAAGCTATGGGACTAGAGTGAGGAGAGCGGCAGGAACGAAGAACACACACGAATGTCCTCATTACATAATACAGAGTTGTCGCTCCATATCCGACAGCAAACCACCAGGCAGGCGGACCATGATTTCGCTCAACGACGGGCATGGGCACTCTGATGGTTTGCCTGCTAATTTTGCCCGATAACCGGCATTTAGCGCGTGCCCGCCGGGCGCTGCTCGATCATGTGGACGGGCCTTAAAGGCTAAGAGTTAAGTGATTTTTTTCTTAGAGGTACACTGTCACCAAAAACTTCTCAAAAGCTATAAGCACTATGCAATCTGAAAAATGAACAAAGAATCTGAAACCATTCTGAGATGATCAGCCATATTCTACTCTTTCTAGCATCCATTATACCCAGGTGTATGAGAAGTTTTTGTGAAGAGTACATATAATTTAAAATTAATTAATGTGGCACACAAGTCACACAACCGATCTAATGTCAACAAAACAAGTTGACTAAATTTTGATGGCTAGGAGTTGTGTGAAATCCCATTTTATAGCCAAAAGGAGGAAGTTCTCGACTAGTCTTCCCTCTTACCTACAATAAGTTTTGGGTCAACAGAACTGTGAAGGTCAAACTTTGTGTCCAATTCATAGCTGCGTGGTATATGGCAAGAAGTGAACCCATTGTAGAATTTTTACTGAACTTGAAAGACCTAGGAATTTAAAGCATTGCTTCATTCCTGGTTTGCTGGGTGAGAAGCTGTTTTGCCGCAATTACACTTGCATGTTAAGCATTGTTAAGCATTGCCATTAGAACATGTCGAGTTTCTTGAGACTGTTTATATCATCCTTTTTCAAATTTTTATTTAATTTTTTGGTATGTATATTTGGTATGGTGAATGTTAGTGAGATTAATTAATACAAAGACTGAATCAGATACAGTACAGTACACCATGAAGGGAAAAGAAGAAAAACCCACATTTAACAAAAATAATTTTTGTGTAGTATTGTAATAGATTAAGATGGTTAAATGTTAATAAACCCTGTTCCTAATGTCATATATTTATTTACACAATATATATATATATATTAAGGCCACTATAATAAACTTTTGGAGAGATATTTGTTACACATAGATACAGGCATCCCTACAGATGCAGAAGGTATTTTTTCCTATAACCGACTGCCTGCCG